AATCTTAACACGACTGAACACGATCTTACAAAGTCTAAACAGCATTTTTACCTTTAGTCTGATTTGATCTGAACATGGTCTGATCAAGTCTTAATCGGATGCAAGAACAATCTGTCTTGTTTATCTTGACATGACTGAACGGACTTAACACGGTATATCGTGACAGCGTCTGAAAGTCTGAAAAAGTCTTGACGTTTTTCTCTAGCAGTAAATCCAGTCGATTAAGACTTGATCAGACCAAAATGACCGTTTCAGACTCAAATATTGCTACTAGTGAGAGGCAAGTGAACAAAATCTATAAGTAAGCTTAAAGGAGATGATGGGAAATTAATTCTAATCAAGAAAATGTACTAAATAAAATTACAAAAAATCTATGAATACTTGTATAATGTAAAATTTAACTGAAAAATATATCAACTGATACGTGATGGAAAAGATACAGTAGAGAAATGCACATAAGGTATTTATAAAATGAAATTAAATAAATCTCCAGGGCTTTATGGGATTACGGTAGAATTGTATAGACAATTGTGGGATAAACTTAAATTATTAATTGTATATGTTCTCAATACCGGCTAAAATAGATAAAGTTTATCATATTCATAACGTACCAGTATATCAACTTTGATATTCAAAAAAGGAGATCGTTTACTTTTGGAAAACTATCGTCACATTTCACTTCTAAATACAGATTTTAAACTTTTGTCATATGTGCTAGCTCAAAGATTAAAACAGGTACTTTAATAATGATTCACTTATAGGGTCTTTGCATCGGAATTACACATATTTATTCTAAAACCAGTTGTTGGCATAACACGGGTTATGTTCTTCTCATATATGTTATGACGGTATAATACTAAACCCCTAACAGGAGGGATTGTGCCTGATATTCATATGATGAAGACATAATCTTTCAATCAGTTTAATTGAGGTCTGGAGCTGGCATGTCAGTAACTGCTAGTAGTCTGTTGTTATTTATGTATTATCGTCATTTTGTTTATTTTCTTTTGTTTCCTATTCTGACATCGGACTCGGACTTCTCTTTAACTGAGTTTTACTGTGCGTACTGTTGTACGTTTGTTTTTTCTACATTTGATAGAGGTATGGGGGGAGGGGGGAGATCTAAAAAAAAACATGTTAAACCCCGCCGCATTTTTGCGCCTGTCATAAGTCAGGAGCCCCTGGCCTTTGGTAGTCTTGTATCATTTTTAATTTTAGTTTCTTGTGTATAATTTGGAGTTTAGTATGACGTCCATTATCACTGAACTAGTATACATATTTGTTTAGGGGCCAGCTGAAGGACGCCTCCGGGTGCGGGAGTTTCTCGCTGCATTGAAGACCCATTGTGGCCTTCGGCTGTTGTCTGCTCTATGGTCGGGTTGTTGTCTCTTTGACACATTCCCCATTTCCATTCTCAATTTTACTTCCAAAAATTTTCAATGAAGATCAGGCCGATCATGTTAAAAATAGATTTATTGAGTTTAATCTGAGAGAAATTCAAGATGTAATAGACTATGCAGACACATACAAAATTCAGGGGGCAAAAGCATATGATTCATTGGAATGGAATTTTATATTTGGGACTTTGAAGCATTTTGGTTTTAACGAATTATTTATTTACTAAGTTTAAACAATACACAGAGATAAACAAACATGTGTTATAAACAATGGGTGGGTATCAGAAACTTAAAAAAATTCACGGGGAACATTTAGCTGTTTAAATTATGCCCCAGAGATCAAGAAATAATAAAAATGTAAAAGAAATAAATGTAAAACTAGATGGGAAAAGTCATAGTATTAAGATTTAGCAATTAGCAGACGACACAACACTTTTTTGGAAGGATAAAAACGATGTGGTTACTCAATGAACGAAATAGAAAAGTTCTTTTTCAGGTTTATTATTAAATAGAAATAAAACAAAGGGAGTGAGGATTGGGGAATTGAAATCGTGTAAAGATAAAATTGTTGGAATTAAAAGGGAAGATAAAACTATTAAAGCTTTAGGGGTGTTTTTCAGACATGGTGAAGAGGAATGCCAAAATTAAATTGGAATTGTAAAAAAGAAAACATGAATAAATTGTTTGTGATATGGAAAAAACGAAATCTTGCAATTTTAGGAAACATCCTTATTATAAAGACTTTAATATTGCCTTTGTTTACCTTCTTGGAAAGCGTCTGTATAACTTCAGAAAGTTATCTAAAAGGGATAGAAATCAGTAACTATAAAAATATATTTGGGATGGGAAACCAGACAAAGTTAAAAGAAACCTGATGATAAGTCCATATGAAAAGGGGGGTTAAAAATTGTTGACGTTAAAAGTTATTTTGTGGCTTTAAAATCATCATGGGTAAATAGATAGGTAAGTGATAAACTAGATATAAGAAAACAACTAATACGGGGAAATACATTTTATAAAATTTGGAAATAAACTAATTATATATGAGAACTTGATAAACAGTGATCTGATTTACATAAATGATATTTTAGATGATAAAAATCTACATTCTAAACAAATTAAAGTTCTAATTGAACTGGACCGCTGAATTTCATAAATTAAAAAAATATATCCAAGAAGAATGGATCCAAGTTGTTCAAAAAGAAAATTCTGTTAACACTACAGTTAATATTCAGAGAAATAAGATTATATGGTATATCATTATACTGAGACTACATTATTAACAAATAAAATGTTATATAACTCTTTATTAAGTACAAAACTAAAGCCATCAATAGGGATAAACAGATGGCTTACAATCCTAGAAATACAAGAAACTCAAAATATGAATTCATTGTACCGATTTATTTTTTAATATATGACTGAAAATAAATTAAAAATATTTAGTTGGAAATTATTACAACATATTGTTCCAACGAAAAAACTGTATTGCAGTGGAAAGTAACTAAGACAGATAAGTGTATTTTTATATAAGAAGATTATGCACAATATTTTCTGCATTGTACATATTTGACTAGATATTGGCAAAAAATCTATGACCTCTTTAAAAGAAGTAAAATCGATTTTGTTATTAAATTACAACATCTTATATTTGGATATAAAATCACAGATCGTAAATATTACTTTTTGAATTATCTAATAACGGTATTTAGTTTTTCTATTTATAAGTCATATTATGTATCCGAGCAGAGAACATATGTTGTTGATGTCTTTAGTATTTTTGAAAATTAATTTAATAAGAGAGTAGACACTGATAGATATAAATCAACATGTCCAATGTTATTGTCAATTAAAAGAATTTTAGCAATAATCAGTCTCTGTATAGGACAATTGTGCATGTTTATATTATTTTTATAAGTTAATAATTTGGATCAGCTGTTTATTTCCCTGGATAATCAGTTAAGTGTAATAGGGTAAATCAAGAGAAGCTTGGACTCTTGATGAAATGTCTTACAATCAAGATTTGATAAATACAAATTATTATGTTGTTAAAAAAAAAAAACATAGTTCACTTTGTGCAGAGGAATTTGTTGTCATCATTAAATTACAATCACGTACGCTTCTCGTTAATTACACAGCCGCCAATCATAAAAATCCATACAGACACTGACAATGTTCTTTGTGCTTGTCCATGATAGGAAACTCTATCAAACTACGTAATGTCCTTGTAAAAAAAAATAATGCAGTTACATGCAGTTGCATTTGTATTTGGCAAAACCTTTCGGAATAGTGGGCCTTAATGCTCTTAAACTTTATTTGGCCTTTTTAACATTTTTTTAATCGGACATACAACTGTATCGCATATACCATGCATATTCCTTACGCACTTTTATAACCCCTTGTATTGAATATGGTATTTTTCCTGACATTGACAGCAAGCAATGTGTTATCTAAGCACTGAAAGAAAAATTATACCTATTTGCAGATGTTGGTATCTAGAGCAACTGCAAACGCTTCATTAGAAGGCTGACTCCTGACCAATAATATATTGATTGCAGTTTAAAATGACAAAAAAACAAATCCGTTCACCTATAAACGATATTTTGTTGTATTTTCACCATATAACTATTCAAACATATAAAAATATTTTGCTTTTAGCGCACTTTAATCATTTTCGAAGGAACTTTTAAAGACTTACAAAGTCCTGTAAATCTTGCATTCTAAATTTCGCAAGAATTAAACAGAATACCCATATTCTTTAATAGTAGTTTCTTTCTAAAAATTATGTCAGAACATAGTAGTAAAGAATACTATAATTCCAAATAGAATTATAGTTAAAATCTTAATTGCGCCATTATAGACCATTTGACCTTGATTCAACACAATCGACACCGTACGAATTATTGAAACCAGGCAAGACAAAAAGTCCATATAATATATTATCTTTTGAACGATATATAATATGGCCGATTGTATGTTGGGTGTGTGTTAAAGTCGTACACCAACCGTCTTTTTGAAAACACCAATTGCCTATAAGTAAGTACCATTGATGATTGTTCGAGTAAATCACATTGATCATAAATTCGGTCATTGGTATATGGAATACTAGTAAAGTGGTTTTGTAGGACGTTAAACACCCCGAAATAATTAAAAACAAGAAATGCATAGTTTTCATTCTTTGTGTATGATTTTGTTTCCCTAAATAATGCGTTTAATTGACCATCACATTGTGAATGGTTTACGTAATATTTACCTACATTTAATATATATTGTTGGGCAATCTTTAGTATTATGTCCATGATGTCAGCTTTTTAGTTTCATTGTTTAATTTAATTACAATATATGTTTGTATGTTTTAGGTTTATATTTATAGGTTTTTCCATATATAGACATATATGCATAAAAGAGGCACGCAAGAAGGCCTGTAGTCTCAGATCTTTAATGTTTTAATAGTGGTTTTTATATGTTTTTACATAAATAAAAAAATATATAGAGATATATAGAAATAATGGATGGATGGAAGGAAGAAAGAGCGAGACAAACAGATCCAAACTTGTAAATTTACATTAATTTGAACAAAAGACAATTATTCATGACACATACCTATATCCATACAGTGAGTCCAAACGGTAAAGTTTGCAATCTTACGAGTATCAGTTAAATTGAATCTGAACTTGAATATTCCTGCATTGGGGTATCCTATATACATCCATCTGAAATATAATAGATTTCGTATAACGGGTCATTCATTTGTGTGTGTGTCTGTGTGTGTGTGTGTGTGTCTGTGTGTCTATGTGCATGTTACTACCTTATATAATTTAGTACTTATGAAAGGATATATAAACATGCAGATTTAAACAAAAAAGAAGGAAGGTACTCTGTCACTTTGTGTATTTTGTCCCCAAATAGTCGGAGCAAAATAATTATTACTTATCACTTATGTGTCATTTTTTTCACTATTTTACGATAGTATTACAAAAACATATGATAACTGATATCCTATTGAAACACCAAGGGCAATTGCATAAACAAATATGATAAACGTTCGAACAGTATTTAATATAGAAAAATACAAACAAGATACTCGCTCGGTCAATAACTCGAAAATTTTATTTTAATTAACAGCAAAAAAATCAAATAAAAAAAGAATCGCAATAACTCCTAAACAGCAAAACCAAATATGTTGACAAACAACAAAAAAATCAAATAAAAAAAGAATCACAATAACTCCTAAACAACGAAACCAAATATGTTGACAAGGTTAGCATATCCTGTTAAACATGCATCATTCAAATTCAAACTCTATTAACTATTTAAGATATGGACTAGGAAACAATTTATATAACGACTTTTCTCATTTTTCTATTCTTTTAAGATCAATGAACAAGAACACATATTTCTCCCGAATCCACTAATTGGAGCGCACTATTATTCGTATTTGATTAACGGCAGTTTGTTGAAACACCTTTTAATCAAACTCAAAATACATGTTGTTGAGCAACGAGTCTTTCATTTTCATAATATCGCATTCGTAGCATTTGTTGTTGGAATATCTTTTTTTCTTCCATAAATCTTTGAGTTATGTCTCCTAATCCCTTGGTTTGTGTTATTCTTTTTTAAAAAAAGAGTTCAATACAAACATGTTGTCGATATTTAATCGATCATTGAGGATGTTTATGTAGAGTGTTTTGATACTTTTTCCAAACTGTAATGATTGTGATTGAACATTTTGAAGTTGATGTTAAGAATCAATGAGCTGTATTTGATAAAAAAAAATATATATACGAGATATATGCTGGGTCAAAAATCGAAACAAAAGATAAAAAACCATACAATCAAAAATGAATCGCAATAACTCCTATATAGCGAGACCAATATCTTGATAAATGTTTAATCGATATGTGTACAATGTATGGTCTGGCTTTTTCCCCCGCTGAATGAATCATGTAACATATGTATGTGTTTGTAAACAAAGGGTAAACAATGCGTTTTTGTGACAGTTATATTTAAATTTCTGATTTTTACAAAAATTATAAATTAAAATGAACGAAATATCTACTTTTATCTATGCAATGAACATTTTATATTAATACTAATTTTATATTAATATTATTTATTTAAAAAAAAACAAACCTACTAATGGATAAGTCAAAATTCGGAAAAAAACATATCAAGATTAGTATAAAAGTAAACTGCAGAAAATGAGACAATGGGCAAAATTGTTAGGAGCCTGTAATTCAGTGATTGTCGTTTGTTGCTGTTTTACATATTTGTTTTTCGTTCATTTTTTTTTTTGTACATTAACTAGGGCGTTAGTTTTCTCGTTTGAATTGTTTTACATTTGTGATTTCGGGGCCTTTTATAGCTGACTTTGCGGTATGGGCTTGGTCATTATTGAAGGCCGTACGGTGACCTATAGCTGTTAATTTGTGTGTCATTTGGTCTCTTGTGGAGAGTTGTCTCATTGGCAATCATACCACATCTTCTTTTTATACATATAACACACATGACACAACAAAAGAAGCTATGAATTTAGCATCCCTGCAAAAACAAAAGGGATTGAACTCAGATGATCTAGAAGGTAAAGATATTAATTCTTTATTGGTTGTAACTGTCATGTTTGCAAATGACAGGTTGCATTCAGTTATCTTCGACATTACATGTACCCCTTTCATACAGATTCACGTAAGACAATGCTACAACTATTTTCATATGTAATACCTGTTTGTAAGATCTAGTCGTATCATAAAAGCGTTGCTTAAATCTGTAGATACAACAACTATGTTTGTTCCGTCTGTTTTGCATCTAAAAAGTTTGTCATCTAACCATTAACCCAGTAGACATGGTCATTTGCGGAATCAACAGCCACACCTGCTGGAGTCGATGAATTCACAACATGTTGTAATGTTATGTTCTTGGAGGGATATGGAAATCTAGAAAAGAAATTGAAAGTTATGTTATGCATTGACGATGTTTCTTTTTTATCATTTCTGGTAGTTAAAAATATCTGACCTCGCTGAATTAAGGATGTACACCTCTGAGGAGCCAAAAACTTTTAGAATTAAACTTTTTTTCTTAACCTAATTTTTGGGTTTATATGACTGTAAAAAAATAATTGGTGAAGAAAAAATCATATGGTGGTGCACTTCTTTTTTTGCTACGGCCCTTTGAAAGTACCCAATTTTGATGATTTTCCCATTTTTCATCAATTTTTACCTATTTTTGGGCTATTATCGTGAAAAAAAATCACAATTCCACAAATAAACTCTTTTTCATACTTTCAATAAAGATGAAGTGGACCAATCTAAATAAATTTAACTTAAAAAAAATATAGGTAGGTGTTAATATAAGAAAGTTTTATCATATTTTGATGCTTTTTTGTGTAAAATTAACCATGCTGTCAATTTTGTAAATTTGTGATTTTTCTCTGTTTTAAGAACAAAATGCATATTATTTCAACTTCTTTGTTATACATGATTGAAAAAAATACCTATCTAAGAAATTTGAAAAGAAAAAGTGATATGGAATGTACATGTTTCTGGTAAAATCATTTCTTGTACCCCTCACCCATTTTCTCAAAATTTTGGCTAAAAAGACTGACTTGATTGGTAATAAGATTTGAAAAATTGATTACTCAAAAACTACTCATTGTAAATACGCAATTTTTTCACAGAGTTGAGTTTGATTATAACATTTTTTTAAATTCATTGATATTTTCCACTTGTATCACATGTTTTGGAAATAATTCCAGAACGAGAGTTCAACGAGACTGTAACGTCAAAAGAACTCATCCTCAAGATGTATATCACAAAATCATTTCAAATTCAATCTAACACGAATTGGTGCATTTTGAAATTTACTTGTAACAAAATTAGAATTTCAACATGAATATCAGTTTTCAAGGAAAATGTATCTTAAATTACAGCCATTATAAACAGTTTATGTTATAGATAATGCATATTTTAATGTTTTTCTTGTCGTATAACACCCCCAGAAAATACGGAAATTCATGTACGAGCTGGTTTTGTGCTGTTTTTAATTATTTGAGTAATAACACTTGAATAAAATTTAGAAAACCTATTATTGCAAGAATATTATAACAAAATCATTTTTTTTTTTTCCCTTTTTTTTTTTTTTGGCGATATAAAACATTTGTGTATGTTTTCACAAAGAAATCTATCCACATTTAAAATAGTAAAAAACATATGATGACCTAATACATAACATTTTTTATTTTGACCAAGAAAACAAAGGAAAATATACATGATCTTTATTGTTTTATAAATTTTCGAAATATAATCATGATAATTGAAAATTGAAATCTAATCAACAGTGAAGTTCTAGATTGTCTAAATGTCGAGAAAATGAAATTGTGAAAAATGGATACATATATAACTCACTTGTTTTATACAACAATGTATGATATTGAACTCTGCGTACGTCATCTGTTCGTCCGTCAAAACATTTATAACGTTTCATTTGATATAACTACGCCAATCGAAGCATGTATTCTTTTCCAGGTGCTACGTCTTATTGGACGATTAAAGTATGAGCAATTCACCCTCCTTCGACCATTAAATTCAGATAGACTGTAGATAATATTAGCACAACTTGTATTGCATCAGTTATTGTAGTCATATAATGGTCCGGTTCAAATAGAGTAGATGCACCGAACAATGCTAATTGATACTGTGTAATCGTGAATTGAAAATTTAAAAAAACTGTTCATGTGAGCATGTCTAATTTAAATGTTATCCAAGATATCCGAAAAGCATAAAAGTTACCATATTCGTATTAACATTTTAACATATAAATGGATAAAACGTTTACATCATGAATATATAGAATTTTATAACTATCTGTGCGCTCCCTGTAAAATATTCACAAATCAATTTACGTTTATTTTGCACTTTATCAAGAGACTAGATTATTCACCGATACGCAATAGTCTTAAAGTAACTGTACATAAAAAAAAAACCTACTTTGAAATATTCATTTAGCATATTAAATACAGAAATAAATTTGATCAATATCCACAATCTATTCGACCAATCGTTACCTTTGATTTCGAATATATTTTCTTAATCTTTTAAATCGAGTAAAAGTAAAACATGGTTGTAATTGCAAAATATTCACAGAGGTTTTTTGTTTAGATATTTTGTTCATAGCGTAATGAAAACCTAATTTATCTAATTTGAATACTTAAACACTTTGTTAGGTATTCAATCAATATACAAAAGTAACGTTACCGCACAATATCCGAAAATGAATGTCTTGGAAAATAAACATTTCTGTTTTCGTAGTCGTAGTCCAAAGAATACACAACACTTCCTCCATGTCCAACAAGCACAGTCACAATGGCCGTATCAACATCAAATTCCAAAATTGACTGGTTACTTGGAAACAGAAGTTTTCTATGTACAGCTGAAAATACCATTACTAAAATGTTAACCAAACTACTATTTAAATAAATTAACAAGATACCATCAGTTGTACACACACCCTATGTATTTTCGTAATGAACTTTCGTTCTATGCAGTTCTTTAAACTTCAAACTGTGGTGAAGTAAAAAAGTATCAGAAAAATACCAAACTACAAGCTAAATTCAAAATCAAACGTTACTAACATACTGAACAAATGGAAAAAAAGCGACTTGGTACAGGCAGAAATTTTCCTAACAAAATAGTGTTTTAAACCTGATTATATCACAATCCAAACCTTAAATTTGTAGGACAGTGTTTATAGTTCCATTATATCAAGAAAACTGTGTGTGCAACTCAAACCAACAGATGGGTAAATGTGACAATAATTAGAATCCAGCAGCCAAGCCAGTGTGATAAGTGGGGTAAGTCACCAAACATACATTTTGAAACATTAAAAGATAAAAAGTTTAACACAGATTTAGAGCACTCGACATTAAAGGGTTAACCCCACCAAGTAAGCTTGAGATGAAATGTTCGGGTTGTCAAACGCGTGTTACAGCTTTTGACATTGATCAAACAATAGGTCTAAAACCGTCTAGGTAGAACCTGACAGAGAATACATTGCGTTTAATTAAACAATGACGAATGGTTTAGGAAGACACATTGCGTGTAACCGGATAGTTTTACACCAACATGACATTGTGTGGTCATGCATTGGACAAACACTGCACATATGTGAAGCAAATATGATATCGTTTTCAAAATCAAACCAACTGTCCTTCAATATGTTTTTGCAATACTCCTATCAACTCAGCAATAGCAGTTATGCGATTTGACGTAACAACAATTGATAAACACGTAGGTAAGCCATGTGTAGCAATATTAGTCTTGGATTTCAATGGCTTTTTAAAAGGTCAATTTAAAAGAGTTTCCTTTTGTTTGTTTTCAGCAGTACAAATACAATTAACAGATTTTACGTAAAGTCCATGTCAAAGACAGAACTGGTAAATTTTCGTATATCAAGATCCAAATTGAAACAATGCAATTTTGTTGAGATATCCTTACTTAATCATAATGATAATTTAAATAAGGTTTAGATGAAATTGTTAAAAATACCCCATTAATTTTTGAAAGTCAAGATGTCAGAATAACTACCTGAACTTGACACATTCATGATCAATTTATTAATTTTGGCTTCCCAATAACGTTGACAGATCACTATATATGCATTTGCTGGCGACGTTGCATTTCACTTCTGTAGTCAACATCAACATTAAATAGCACTGTAAGCTAAGGAGTTTTGTCTTCGAGGTGTAGATGGCTATAAAATTTGTACTTTGTACTGTTATGGATTGTCTTTAAAAAAAACTTATCAATAAATTTGTAACATGTTCATTTGTCGAAAATATTCAGCATATCCAGTGCGGTAAATTCAGATCTGTTCATACAATACACTTTCAGTAAATATACATCTGTTAAGGTTATGTTTAAACTGTTCAAAACCTTTTAGTTCTGTATCATCGAATTAATATGTTTCTTTGATTAACACATGTTTCACTAGGTCAATAACCTCGTGTCGGACAATGTTACAGTGTGTATCCTCAAATGAACAACTGATTCTAAATAAATAACATTTTGATATTCTTAAGAGGACGAATCATGCATTGGTATCACTTGCACGCTTACGTTACTAATATTGTGACAATTTGAATGCAGTTTTCTCTTAACAAAGTCTAGTTTTTGCAGGGTTACATTTTTTTTAAAAATCGGACGAAGTGGCAAAATAGAGGCTTTGAATAATTAGCAAAACCTATATCGTAAAAAAAGCTATAAAAGCGACAGAACAAATTTAATACAATCGAATGGTTTCTGAACTGTTCAATGTGGAATTAATGTTTTAAGTTTGTGATTTTACATTTGCTAATTTCGACGCGATTGGAAAAACTGAAGTGATCACGTATCAATTGTATTTTTTGGCTAAACAAACAATGGATAAGCCAATTCAACACAAGTCCGTCAAATTTACATGTTTAAATCTACACCATTTAAAGGGAACATAAAAATATTTGGTTACTTCCCCCAAAAATGCAGTTGTTATATATTAAGTCTTCTATTGAAAACATCGAGTGCAAAATGCTGACAGATTCATGCTAAATAAGCATCAAAAGAACGTGTCAAGAGAATACTTTATTAACCCATTGTGAAGAAATCAAACACTGAGACACTTTTCCCAACAAATTATTTTTTTCGGTGAATAATTTGTATTCTTGCAAATGCATTTTAAAGCTATTCAATATAACTTAAAAGGTGATTGATTTAGATTTGTCATGCTATCTTCTGTATAGTATCATGTATGACTAGCAAATACATTTGTTTTTGTCCCGGCTGATATTTTTTATATTGAGGTTCTGCAAAAGGAAATCATGCATTCCCCAACATAACGACTGACTTAATTTCCGGAAAATGACATGTGTAACAAACATAAACTGTTAGCTTCATCTTTAAAAGCAACACCGAATAATATGAAAGTTTAAACTATGTACCGGCTTCCGAATCTGCACAAAACATCTTACAAATATAGGGTTTCGTCTTCAAGCCATTAGTCAATTACTAAACTGTCTATTCTACTTACTACTACTCTAGGTACAATACAAAAAAATGTAAGGCTTTGTTCAAATAAGGCATTTAAAAATAGTTAAATTGATTACTCTTGGAGTGATAAACATTCCTTGAAAGTACTTGATAAGTTTCATGCTCATATTGTCGATTTTGAATCTAAAATAAGTTTCACTGTGCCTATTGCTGTGTATTTTTTACTCAATATTGTCTAGATGTATAAGGTGGGTTGAAATCTCATAAACATGTTTTACCTCGCCATATGTTTGCGTCTGTCCCAAACCAGGAACCTCTGGCCATTGCTAGTCTTGTATTTTTGTTATCTTGGTTCACTTATATGTGCCGTTCATTTGCGCTGGACTAGTATACATTATTGTTTAGGGATAAGCTAAAGTTCCCCTCCGGGTGCGGGATTTTCGCGCTGTGTTGAAGAACCATTGGTTGCCTTGGCCTCTTTTCTTCTCTTTGATCGGGTTGTTGTCTCCTTTACTTTTTCTCCGTTTCCACTCTCATTTCTATTCATATGAATTTTTGGACGCGTACACGTTACCCAGTCAACAATTTTTTTAAATACATACAAATATTTTACAACATCAATTTCTTTTTCAAAGTAACTAAGTAGATAATTGTTTTTATATTGTTCGGACGAATACTTGATAACATAAAAAAATCTATAGGAGTGTGAAGTGTATTTTATGCGTTGTCTTTTTTTTTTCACAATGGAATGTGGTAACCCTGAGTCCTGTGCCCTTTTACTTTTTGTTCTCCATTTGGCTGGATTGTCATAATAATAATGTGCAAATTAATCTATACCGATTATAAATGATATCTGGAACGTCCGAAAAAATAACTCGTTCTGAACATGAGTAAAATAATTGTCCCTGGAAGTGTAGCTACACACAGCAAATCAATTAACCGACATTATATACTAACAGTCAGTCAGTATACTTTTCATAGATGATACTTCTCATACTTTTCATTATTTAGTACAAATACATGTCAGTGTTGTATGATGCGGTCAAATGCGGTGAAAAATGAAAACTAACTACTGAAGTGAAGGTTCAATATTATGAATGCACAAAGGAAATGCTGGCACTCTTAATTGATGCGGACACTATTTTGTTGTCATTGTGTACAAATAATGCTGTCATTTATTTAATACAATCCATCCTGAGTTAACAAATTTACGATTTATGATGCGACATTTTCATAATGAAGTGCAAATGATCATGAGTACCATGATTATAAATGATACCACCTTATTCGTGTCTTACTTTTTATTATAAAGAACAACTATGGTTAGTGTTGGTTGTTTGATGCGGTCAAATTTTTATACCATACGAGCCAGTCTGACATTTTAAAAGTACTAATTTTTGTGACGAGTTAATATTTCAAATAAAAAGAGGACATGCTTTTATTTTAAATTGAAAGGGAAAACATTTTGAAGTCATTGTGTTCCAATATTGCTGTGATTTGTATCATACAATCTATCCTGACATAAAAAATAAATGCTGATCTATTATGCGGCAATAAACATTTACATGATAATGTTCAAATATAAGTTTTGGTTGACGCAGTCTAATATTTTTGTTATACGAGCCAGCCTGAGATTTCAAAACTACTGATTTTTTTAAACGAGTCAATATTTTGTAAACAATAGAACATGCTGACATTCTAAATTGATACAGACAACATTGTGTAGTCGTTGTGTATTGCTGTCATTTATATAATACTATCCGTACTGATTTAAACAAAAAATACTTATTTATAATGCAGTTATATACATTTGCATAGTAAAGTTCAAATATTGTAAGTTTTGGATGACGCGATCAAATCATTTTGTTATACAAGCTAGCCTGATATATCAAAACTACTACTATGTTTTCAAAGAGTCAATATTTTGAAAACAATAGGACATGATTGCCTTCTAAATTGATGCAGACAAAATTTTGTAGTCATTGTGTTCCAATATTGCAGTCAATTGTATTATACAATCCATCCTGACATAAAATTCATTTACTGGTGTGTAATGCGGCTATATAAATTTACATAATGAGTGCAAATAAGGTCAGTTTGGTTGATGCTGTCAAATATTGTTGTTAAACGAGCCAGCCTCAGATATCAAAACTGCTAATTTTTGTGACGAGTTCTTATTTTGAATAAAAAAAAGGATATACTGGCACTCTAAAATGATGCGATTAAGTTTTTGCAGTAATTGTGTTTTAATATTGCTGTCATTTATATTATACGATCCGTACTGATTTATAATGCGGCCATATAAATTTACATAACAAAGTTCAAATATGGTAGGTTTTGGTTGACGCGGTCAAATATTTTTGTTATACGAGCCAGCCTGAGATATCAAAACTACTGTTTTTTTTAACG